AAAGAGGGAAACATAATTGCTCTCATGTTCCGCCCAGCACGTGCACGTCGATGGCCGCGGCGCAGATGTGACAATTCTATTAGGCCCGCTGTCCGCATGGCTGACCTTGCAAATTGAATCCCGGGGGTCAGGCCTTCCGCCCGCGGCTAGATTTCATGTTCCCGGGCGGGGAGGGCCTGGGCGGTGGGGCTGAGGTTTCGGGGCCGGGCACCCGTCTGTCCCGTCCTGTCTTCTCCCCCTCCGCTCCCCAGGCAGACAGATGGCCGCCCTGGTGCATGGGCCCTGCCTCCCTCGGGAGGTTGGGGGGTGGCGGTGCCATCCCTGATGTCCCGTCTTCAGAGCCCAGGTTTATTTCCAGGCCGAGAGTCAGCCAGCCTCCCCACCCCCGGGGCCAGGACCTCAGAGAATGGAGGGCAGGGAGCTCGACCCTGGCAGCCCGGAAGCCCTTCAACAATTCCTGGGTCGTGAGGGCACCCGCTGGGGCCGGAGGTGCTTATTGCCGTGACCTCGTCATGGTTGCTTGAACTTATATACGTGAGCAGAAAACAAAACAACAAAATCTAGTGCCCTGGCCGGTTTGGCTCAGTGGATAGAGTGTTGACCTGGGGACTAAAGGGTACCAGGTTCAATTCCCAGTCAAGGGCACCTGCCCGGGTTGTGGGCTCAATCCCCAGTTGGGGGGCGTGCAGGAGGCAGCCGATCCATGATTCTCTCTCATCATCGATGTTTCTCCCTCTCCCTCTCTGAAATCAATAGAAACAAAATGAGACAATAATTGAGCTTGGGGAGGACGCGGAGGAATCGCACCCCTTAGCGTTGCTGGAGGGAAGACTCCGGCTCCTTAGTACGGGAGACAGTCACACAGTTACCGCTGACCCGGCATTCCGCTGGTAGGGGGGGACCCAGAGGGACCCAGACAGACATCACACACCCCTGGTCCCAGCAGCACCGTGCACAGCGGCTGGAAGGTGGACACAGCCCGTGTCCATCCACAGGGTCCCCCTCACAGAAGGGGAGGGACAAGGCTGCGCTCAGGCACACGCAGGAGGCTCAGCCCCCAGCCCGTGGGGCACTGTCACCTTTTTAGGGACTCAGTGTCCATATCTGTGAAATGGGCAGATGGCAAGTGGATCGATCTCATGCTGCTTCTGTTTGTCTGTCTCTGTTTTCTGACTCTGTGTCTCTGACTCTGACTCTGTGTCTCTTTCTCTGTCTCTGTTTTTCTTTCTTCCTGCCTCTGTCTCGCCCCCTCTCTCTGCGGCCTCCCCCCCCCGCCCCCCCCTTCAGCGGTCTCTGCGCCCAGCTCTCCCACCAGTGTCTTTTTCCAGGTGTGGACGGATTTGACTTGCAGGCCTGGAGCGGATCAGACCCGAGCTCAT